GTTACGATGCCTAGAGTACGGAGACCTGTACGATTTCGTCAACTTAGTGAGTTTGATAGGGGCCGTATAGTGGGACTTCGGGAAGCTGGACTTTCTTTTCGGGCAATTGCAGTTAGAGTGCAAAGAAGTGTAGATACTGTGGTTAGGTGTTGTCAGGCATGGCTTCGAGAAGGCCGTACGCAAAGAGCAAGGGGCACTGGACGCCGCCGTAGAACAACAGACCGTGAAGATCGCCACCTAAGATTATTGGCCTTAAGGGACCGTTTCTCCACTACCAGGTCCATTGCAAATGAATGGTTTGCAAAACGCGGAAGACCTATTGGCATGCGAAGTGTTTACCGACGAATGAGAAGTTTTGGCTTGTTTTCATACCGGCCACACTGGGTCCTCCCTTTAACTCGAGAACACCGACGTAATCGCCTTAAGTGGTGCAGACAACGGTCACTCTGGGATCAGGAATGGAACAGTATTGTCTTGAGTGACGAGTCTCGATTTTGTTTAGGCATGCACGATGGTCGTGCCAGGGTTAGAAGGCGACGTGGTGAAAGGAGGAACCCACAGTTTTTTGTTGAAAGACATGTTCATCACACTGTTGGAGTTATGGTTTGGGGTGCTATAGCTTATGGTTCCTGGTCACCTTTAATCTTCATCAGAGGTAACATGAACGCGCAGCGTTATATCCACGAAGTTCTAGAACCCCATCTTTTACCCTATCTTGACACCCTGGCAGATCCAACTTTCCAACAAGATAATGCCCGACCACATGTTGCAAGAGTCACAATAGACTTCTTTCAACATAATGATGTCACATTGTTACCATGGCCACCAAGATCTCCCGACTTATCCCCAATTGAGCACGTGTGGGATATGATGGGTAGGAGTTGGTGGTTGCCTGGATTGAGATACCACAGGAGGACATTGACCACCTGATCAGAAGCATGCCTAGGCGCGTTGGAGAATGCGTAGCACATCAGGGTGCATCCACACATTATTAAAGGTCAAAGGGCTTTAAAGCAGTGCAATCATTTTGAAATGTTTATCATTTACTTATTATGCTTCATTAAGTACTTATACAAAATTTTATTAAAATAAAACCATTTAAACTGGGTGTTCGGATTTATATGTCACTTAGTATAATTATTATTTGTACAAAAATATGGAATCATCCGCGTCCGATTCAGGAGAATCGCAAACTCAAAAAAGAAGTGTTATTTGGATGCATTTCAACAATATATCGGAAGCTAATGCAAAGTGTAATCTTTGTAAAAATATTTATTTGCATAAAAATGGAAACATTAGCAATTTAAGGAAGCATTTGAAAACTAAACATCCGACTCTTTCATTGGAAGGAGAAAGGGCAAAACGGCGGGTGGAAGACGAAAATATGCCTAGGTGCAAAAAGAACTTAGTTTCAGGTATGTTTTATTATTATAAGTATTTTGTTGAACACCATTTACAGTGGAGTAACCAGAGTGTTAAGTAGGGCAGGGGAGTAACCAGACTGTTAGGGCAGGGGACGCTACTCAACTAAAGTAAAGAGTGAGGAGAGTGGTTCCTCCACGGTCCCCATCTGGTTATGCCACTTGTTATTTAAGCTACTGTAGTGGACTATGTGAAATTGATACTTGAATAGCTTTATAGTTTTAAATCTGAAACGCAGTTTTTCTTTTACGTTTAATATATAAACAAATATTTATCTGATTTTTTTATATTTCCGTAATATTAGAATACTTGTTTATATGATTCATAAAGAAGAAAAATCGCGATTTCAGAACAACATGAAATCATTATTTAAATTTTTCAAAACGAATCTGATTGTTTTTTGACGGATGTATGTATTTAGGGCCATCCACTGTATTGGAAGAAATGGAAGAGGGTTACATAGCGGTAACCGCTCACTTTATATCAAAAGAATGGCAGTTGCATGGCTGTCTGTTATCTTGCTTTAAATATGATTCAAGACATACAGCAGAAAATCTATGCCAAGAACTAAAAAGGGTTTCTAATAACTGGAATATAACCGAAAAAATATATGCTGTAACGACAGATAATGCAGCAAATATTGTGGCAGCTGTAAAGGCAACTGGATGGGGGCACATATCATGTTTCACCCATACCCTTAATCTTATCGTTAAGGACGGATTAAAGGAAATAGAAGACATAAGAACAAGGATTAAACAAATTGTTGAACATTTTCATAGAAGCTGTTTTGCTAACACAAAATTTTTTGCGACCCAAAGGCAAATGAATCCCAATTCAACTCTTCTTAAATTAATAAACGATGTACCAACGAGGTGGAACTCCTCCTATTATATGATTGAGAGGATAGTTGTATTGTCTGAGCCACTGGCGGCAACCATAGGTGTGCTACACAATCCAGTAATTTTACCTTCGGAAGACGAATGGACTATTTTAAGGGAAATGCAAAATTCTGAAACCTTTTGAAGCCATAACGGTTGAAATTAGTTCAGAAAAGAACGTGACACTCTCAAAAATAATTTTAATTGTGAAGGGTCTAATATCTTCTCTGGAAAAGATTAAAAGCCAAATTACAAGCAGGTTGGGAATCCGCTTAGCAGATTCATTTTTAGGCTCTATTGTGGTCAGATTTGGTAACGCCGAAAAAAACTTGATCATGGGAAAGACAACCTTTTTAGATCCCAGGTTCAAAACGAAGGGATTTTCCAGCGAGGATAATTTAAAGAAAGTCACGGAAAAAATCCAAAGCGAAATAGTGTATTTAATTAAGAAGGCGCAAAGTGAGGGTGCTGAAATTAAAAATGATAATATTACAAGTGAAACGAAGAATCCTTTGAAGGAAACTGATGATACTCACGATATAATATGGCAAGACATCGACATAACAATAAAATCATCTAATATCACTAAAAACAGTCCCACTGCGACAGCCATTGCTGAAATCAACATGTATTCAGAAGAAACAAATTTAAATTGAAAAGAAAATCCGATTCTATGGTGGAGTGAAAGACAAAAAATTTACCCCTGGCTCTCCACATTAGCCAAAAAATATTTGAGCATAGTAGCAACTTCGGTTCCCTGCGAACGGGTCTTCTCAAAGGCAGGACAAGTTATTACGGACCGCAGAAACAGACTAAAGTCAAAAAATGTAGAACATATTTTGTTTCTACATTATAATAATCTTTAATCTTTTTAAAGTTAAATTTTTATTACGATACTTTATTAGAATGTTTTACAGTTTATTTTAGTTTATCGGTTATTAATTATGTTTATACGTATTTATTGACGTAGTTTTAGAATGTTTTATATTAAATATGTACATATTGTATCCAGTACAATTAAACAGGTTATTCAGAACAATATTGGTTCAAGTAGTAGTGACGAAGAATCTATCGATGATGACCAGCTTATTTGGAGTCCCGTAACTGGATCGAATTTGAAGCATTTCGTGTTCACGGAACCTAATCCCGGAGTGAATATGCAACTTTATGCAGACTATTATGATAAATCGCCGCTGGAGTTCTACTATCTATTTTTAGACGAAGACTTGCTCAAAATGATGGTCACGGAAACAAACAGGTACGCAGCTCAGTGTCTGGCTAAAGAAGTTACACGAGGGGCTAGAGTTCGTCAGTGGCAGGATACAGGTGTTGACGAAATGAAAAAATTCATTGGTATACTGATTTGGATGGGTCTTGTTCAATACCCAAGTATTGAATCATATTGGTCAAAAATGACGATATACCAGAATGCGATAAAATCTGTAATGTCTCGTAATCGATTCCAGATTATGTTGCGAATGTGGCACGAAACCCTGGTTCCTTTCCAAGGTCGGTTGTCTTTTCGACAATATATAAAAAATAAAAGGCACAAGTTTGGAATAACACTGTACAAACAGTGCATTGAAAAGGGTTATACTTACAATATGTTGATTTATTGTGGACGGGACCGGGTAGAGGGTCAATCTTCATCCCAAAAAGTAGTGCTCACTCTTGCAAAGGACTTGTTTGACAAGCGACGGACAATTTATACGGACAATTATTATACAAGTATCGAGTTGGCAAGTGCATTACTTGCAAGGAACACTCACTTGGTTGGGACTCTCCGATCCAATCGAAAAATGAATCCTAAACAAGTTGTTGATAAAAAGCTCAAAAAAGGAGAAACTGGGGCAGCTGAAAGCAACTCAGGTATAATTATCCAGAAGTGGAAGGACAAAAGAGATGTGCTTACCTTATCCACAAAACACACCGATGAGTTACTAATCATCAGATCTGGCAATACCCATATAGCACACAACATCTTTAAGATGTCTTATTTATGTCCTAATGAGGTCGCTATGTCTTAAGACCTGAAAAAGATATCTCCCAGATGTCTTACTAGAGATGTCTTTAAGACATCTGGAATGTAACATCTTTAAGATATCTTTTCCGTATCTTTTGTGGCTGAAAATAATATTCCAAGTATCCAATTGACTGTTCTAAGTATTATAGCTAAAATACTAGGTGCAATAGTTTTAGAGAAAAAAAACAAATGCTTTTGTATGTTCAAAAAAAACTCAAAGCAGTAAAAAAATGGCCGCTTGACATTGACATAAGTCAATTGCGTTGCCCTATGGCTATGCATGACACGGGACTGTTCTCGCGTTCTCAGCGTTATGTGTTCTGTGAGCTGAAAGTACAAAGTGCGTAATGAGGTTGTGGTGCCTAATTAATGCTAATTAATCTATGTGTAATCACTGTAATCTGTACGAAAACTGTCTTTTCTGTACTTCGCGGGCCTGCCTGCAAGTTGAAAGGTATGTATTTGTGGTTATCATCAGTTTTTTAGATGGAATGTGTTTCTTAACCTTATCTGATTTTCGCCCTTTAATGCGTGTTCTTTACTCTATAGATTCTCCGTGGATTCTCCCTTGTGGCGTGGTTTGATCCAGAGTAGGTCCTGCCATTTTTATCACGGATTTTTAAAAAAAACTTTTGTGCTCTGCATACTACTGAAAAACATATCTCAATATAATTAAAATGAAAAGAAATAACTTGCAAACATTTTATATGCGAGCTAAAAGGGCAATAAGTCATGACCCTCCTGCTAGTTCCAATTCTGGGAAGTCTGCTATTTCACGTATTAGTGATAGCATCGAGGGAAATAGCAGTGAGAATGCAAATGTTGATCTTTCTTTGACAGATTGCCCATTATTTGATTATTTAGAGGAGAATGATGAGACCATGGGTGACCATTTTGGTGAAACTGAATTGAGTGCCGAATCATCATCAAGTATTGAACAAAACACTAAATGTAGTATGGATGAAATTTGCTTACAAAATAAGTTAGTATTTTGGGCGATAAAATACAATATTCCAAATTCTGCTTTAACAGATTTGATGAAAATTTTGAGCAATAATGTAAATGAGTGTTTACCTCTTGATGCCCGCACATTACTACAAACACAAAGAAACATTCTTGTTGATTCTGTCCCTCCAGGAGAGTATTATCATTTTGGTTTGAATGAAGCAATTGAATCTTTAGTTAGTTCTTTGGGGAGCAGTTGGAATTCAAATACTATATTATTAAATATCAATATAGATGGATTACCACTAGCTAAAAGTTCAAGTAGCCAGGTTTATCCAATACTTGTTTCAGTATTTGGTCATAAGTGTGTGCGGATCATAGGTATATACCATAGTTATGAAAAACCATCAAACCCAAATATATTTTTAAAAAAATTTGTTCATGAGGCTGTAGGGGGACTCCGGGAGAGTCTAGCAGGTGGGAGACAATAGCCGCTGCTCATAGAATATTTGTGGCACGACATGTTACGACATTGCCACACTTCTCAGACGTCATAGGCACCTCCCACCCCGCTCACGTAGCGCCGTTACAATCGGCAGTTTGGTTTGGAAGTAAGAAGTGGCAACACGTTTTCGTACCTGGAAAGTGAGTTTATTCAGTTTTCGACATTTGATCTCTGTTCTTTACTGTGGATAGATTCCAGCACGCCACTTATATACACCGTAAGTGTAATTATTCTAGTCATATTTACGACAGCCAGCTTTTATTCAAGTGTCATAGCTTTTTTTAAAATTTAATAACTGGTAGTATGGCGTGGAGTGGGAGACATTACCCTGGCGTTGGGAGGAGACTTTACCCAGGGTAATCTCTCCCTCTCTGTCAGGGTCGTTTCTCCCGCAATAAATTTTATTCATTTTATTTCAGAGAATGCCCTTCAACTATAGAAAAAAACAAACAACTAGAAAGAGAAGCAATTTAGATCTGTCAGTAATAAAAAATGCTTTAGGTGACATTGATCAAGGAAAGTCTATCCGAGGTGTTGCTTTGGAATATGGAATTGACAGAAATACCTTAAGAAATTATTTAAGAGACAGGTCTAAATTGACTAAAATAAGTGAACAAGGAAGCCAGTTTAAAACATCTATGATATTTACAATCGAAGAAGAGAAGGCGCTTGTTGAATATCTTATAGCTTGCAGCAAAATGAATTATGGATTAACCAGACAGGCGACTATGCAGCTAGCATATGAATATGCAACAATGAATTCCAAAAAGGTTCCAGATTGTTGGACTTCCAACAACTGCGCAGGAAAAGATTGGTTCCGGGGATTTATGACAAGAAACCCTGAACTAAGTTTGAGAACCCCAGAAGCCACCAGTTTATCCAGATCAACCAGCTTCAATAGAAAAAACGTTACTGATTTCTTCGAGAACCTCAAAGAAGTTAGAGAAAAATACCAATTTGAAGCACATAACATCTATAACTGTGATGAAACAGGGTGTACGACTGTACAAGAGTGTCCCAAAGTAATAGCGAGCAAGCATATGCGTCAAGTAGGACAAGTTACTTCAGCTGAACGCGGCAGCCTTGTGACCGTTTGCTTCGCTGTGAACGCTCTGGGAAATGTTCTTCCTCCATTTTTCATTTTCCCTAGGGTTAGATACAACGAATGCTTTGTAGCTGGTGGGCCTCCAGGCTCACATGGTGACTCCTATCCTAGTGGATGGATGACAACCAAGAGTTTCGTAAAATTCATGGAGCATTTTGTGAAATATTCGAACGCATCTCTTAATAACCGAGTCCTGCTTATCCTCGACAACCACGAAAGTCATATCAGTGTTGAAGTCGTTAAATATGCAAAATCAAATGGAGTCACTTTGCTGACTATACCCCCCCACTGCAGCAGAAAGCTACAGCCATTAGATGTTTCCGTCTATTCATCTTTCACGACTAGATATAATTCAGCCATGAATAACTGGATGATCAGTAACCCAGGACGAACTGTTACGATCTACAATATACCTGGATTTGTAAACACAATCATGTCGCAGGCTTTTAGTCTATCCAATATTTTGAGTGGATTTCGATCAACTGGGATACACCCCTATAACCCGGACATCTTTACAGATGACGACTTTTTATGCTCTGCGGTAACAGATAGAGAAATGACTAGTGAACTCCAAAAGCAAGATGTTTCTTCGATTACTTCACCCTCGGTCGCTGCAAAAGTACCATCAGATTCAACCACGGTCGCATTACCTTCAACATCTACTGTACGTCAGTCAGAGCCTTCAACATCAGCATCAGTATTCACGAATGAAACTGCAGCTCCTAGAATCAATTCACCATCAATTTTGACTGCGGAAGAATCCGAGCAAGCAAATACAATACCAAGACGATCAGCAGAGATAGCTTCTACATCTAATGTTCTGGATATGACAACGGTAGATTCTGATTCCGGACACACACCAAAAATAGTTTTACCACAAACAATTCGACCATTTCCAAAAGCTACTTCTAGAAAAAGTCTTCGTCGTGGTAGACAGCCCGGAAAAACTAAAATTTTAACAAAAACGCCAGAAAAACTAGACCAAGATGATAAGTATGCACCGAAAAATAAGAAAATTAAAATAACTACGAAAAGGCAAACAGGCAAAGCAAAGAAAAAGACAGTAAAAAGACAAGTTTTACAGTCAAGTGACAGTGAGACAGACCTTGACGAAGAACCCAAGTATGATGATAGTTCTGATAGTCCCTGGGATGAAGTACCAGATGTTACTGATAATTGGTTTTGTTTCATCTGTGGGGAAGACAAAGTTATGGACATGAGACTTTGTGCTGTTTGTGGCAAATATGTCCATGAAATGTGTGTTGGACTATCCAAAGACGATAAGGAGCAGTTTATTTGTCCCAATTGCTCCAATTAAAAAAAGTAAGACTGGTGAAGGTTGTTATTATCTTTGCTCTTAATTTTGAGAGTTATTTTAATTTTTGTTTTACTGACAACATACAAGGTTTTTAAGTTTAAACTACTTATAAGGTTGACTTCCTGTTTCTGATGGAGAGTATGACTATTTTATAAGTAGATTTTGTTATCTTGTTATGTATTATTTTATTTTTGTTCTTAATTTTGAGAATAACTCTAATTTTTATTTTGCCGACAACGTACAAGATTCCATACCAAAAAATAATTTGTATTACCTACTTTTAAGCTTTAACTACTTATAAGGTTTGTTACCTAGTTATGTGAAAGATGGAGTAGGTTCAGGTAATACTATGTGCCATATTTTTTTAATTAAATTTATAGATTTACAATGTGTAATGATTATTTTGCCTAATCCTAAAGTGGAGGGTAAAGGCTCCCTACTCGAGGGGTCAAGTCTCCCACCCATGCGGGAGATATTAGCCGAATATCACCTTGGCAGAAATCGTTGATAACTCGTAAACTCTTAATGCTACATTAAGCTTTCTTGAGAAAAAATGTAGCTAAATAATACGCTCTAAGATATAATTTATCGGAAATGAAGATTTGTAAGCGTGTAAAGACTTAAAAGCATTTTAGTGGAAGGTGGGTATACTCTCCCGGACTCCCCCTAAATGTTGTTAATAACGGGATTATTGTAAATAATAACAAATTGTTTGTAAGAATTCATTTCATTATCTGTGATGCTTCCGCAAAATCATATATAAAGTGTATAAAGGGACATACAGGCTATTATTCTTGTTCAAAATGTACTAATTTGCTACAAAATTGTATTTTCGAAATACCAATAATCTCATTTTAAGGACTGATGAACAATTTAGAGCACAACAGGATGAAGATCACCATACAGGTAGAACAATTTTAGAAGAAATCCCCCATTTAAATATGATAAGCAGCTTTCCACTAGATTACATGCATTTAGTCTGCCTTGGAGTCACAAAAAAATGTTTATATTTATGGTGTTTTGGAAAACCTAATACAAAATTTTCAGCTGCTACAATAAATATAATTTCACAGTCTCTCATGGATCTAAGATTATGCATACCATTGGAGTTTAATCGAAAGCCCAGGGGTCTTAATGAAGTAAAAATGTGGAAGGTTACTGAATTTCGGCAGCTACTTTTTTACACAGGACCAATTGTTTTCAAAAAATACTTATGCAAAGATAGATACTTGAATTTCATGTCATTACATGTTGCTTTATCAATTCTTGCTGGTCCAAAGCATATAAATATCATTGATTATTCCTCAGAACTTTTAAAATACTTTGTAGAAACTTTTCAAAAGCTTTATGGAGTTGAAAATACATCTCATAATGTACATAATCTTTTGCATCTTACTGCAGATGTTAAACACTATGGAAATGTTGACAAATTTTCTGCATTTGATTTTGAAAATTTCCTGCAAAATATCTTAAAGTATGTAAGAAAATATGATAAACCTTTACAACAAATTGTGAAGCGATATTTGGAAAATATGACTAGTGAGCAGGTTCACAAAGAACAAGCCACTTATCCATTATTTAAAGAGCAAAATTATTTAAGGAAGCAAGGTATAAATTAATATATTTCATTGTTGTTCATTTTTTTGAGGATATGTATTTTAGCGGGTCGAGAAAGAGGGAGAACCGAGACTTACGGCGTCCGTTAACTCAAGCTGAACTAGAAGAGATAGTTCTAGCGATGTCAGATGTAGACGAAGGTAGTGAAGCGATGATTTCATTGTTGATAAGAATTATGAGCCAGATGAAGTTGATTTTGATGAGTCGGAGTCAAATTACAGCGATTCAAATAGCGTTCCAGATCACAATCAGCCACCTAGTCAGAGTCCTTTCGGAACACAGCCTGCACACCCTAGAGAAGAGTCTGACGATGAATGGGTGGATGTGGAAGAACCGCAAATCTTACCTTTCACGCAAAAAGAGTCTATCAATATAAACATTCCAAAGGATTCTAGTGCACTCGAATATTTTCAATTATTTTTTGATGACAGCATAATTGAGATAATTGTTCGAGAAACAAACAGACGAGCTAGAGAAGTATTCGATAATCAGTCGGCATCTACAAGGAGGCAAAAGAGAATGAAATGGCATGACACAACTGTAGAAGAAATGAAAAAATTCATAGGCTTATGCTGTCTAAGTGGTAATATTCGCTTTCCTACATTAGCAAAACAGTGGAGCAAGCATCCATTATATCATCATCCTATTTTTGGACAGACAATTTCACGCAACAGGTTCACAGATCTTCTCAGAATGTTAAGATTTGTTGATCACTCTACTCCTAACTCCGGTGATCGTCTTTTTAAAATCCGCCCAATCTTGGAAAAAATAGTTGAGAATAATAAATCTATCTTTACCCCAGGTCAACATTTAAGTATTGATGAAGCGATGATCCTATGGCAGTTCATTGAGTTTGGAGCAAACAATTGAAATAAAAAATGCGGGAAGACCTACACCAGAAATTAACTTAACTCAGACCACAAAGCGTAAATCTAGAGACTTTATTAGAAAGTTTAAAATGGAAATATATGAAAAGAATAACTGGATTCGTGGATGCAGCACAGCAAACCGTTTGTTTTGTTTTTCTTGTTTGTTGTTTGGTCGCGGGGTTGCAGAGTCTGCCTGGACAAAAAATGGAATAGCCGACTTGGGAGATTTAGCACAACAAATTAAAAAACATGAAAACACTCCATACAGTCCATATCAATGCGCAACTGGAAATGCAGCTTTTGGAAAAAGTAGATATATGGCAGCAGTTGGACAGTGCATATAGGCGCAGTATTCAACAGCAAAATGAACAAGTTAGAAAGAATAGATATTTTTAGAGGTTTAATAAATTTCACTGCCGTATTAGATATAGCACTTAAAGATCATTTTGAAAAATCGACAGGGGTATCAAAAATCATTCAAAACGAATTGTTAGATTTCAAGTTGCAAGCGGCTCAGGAAAATATAAGAAAAGAAACATAACAGATGTAGCTAATTGTTATCAAATGACTACAGTATTTAGGTACATTCTACCAGATGGAAGGCCAGTTGAACGTTTTTGGAATTTTGTTACCCCCCCCCCCGACCCCCCCCCCCGCCCCCGACCCCGATGCAGTTAGTCTCTCAGAATGTGTGAAAACTAATTTAATATAAGTGCTAGATGAACCAGAGAAACTGATAGCTCATAGTTATGACGGCGCTAGTGTAATGAGTGGACGTCATGGAGGTGTTCAAGCTCTCATTCAACGTGATTATATTTATGCTTATTTCGTTCATTGTTATGCCCACTAAGCAACAAGCCAAAAGGTATTTTGGACACCGCCTGAACGAATCTGATTGGCGGATATCCTCACATGTTTTGTCGCCATGAGAAAATTCGACTCCCTATTGGGTAGCGTCCCAGACAATTTTTTTGCTCCTTTCTTAGAATATCCATACTATTGAAAAGTCCAGTGGCGTAGGTTTTATCTCCGTTGAAAGTCATGTATGAGTTTTACAACTATTATTGTTAACTATTTATGGTTCTATTAAGTTTGTATGTTTAGTGCTGTGTGTTTTTGAATAGTTTAGTGTTTTGTTATTTGTTATTGTTATTCGTTTTAGTATTATTTTTTTAAAATGAACCAATTTACTCGCGGAAAGACGCTTCATAGCCAAACAAGAGAAGTGATTGCGAATGTTTATAGGTTAGTAAT